ATGGGATAAGAGAGTAAAGAGAAGATAGATAGGCCAGGACAGAAAGAGGAGTGATAGTGTAACCGTTTTCGGCAGAACTTTTGTAGAGGGATTGGCATCATTTGTCTCTTTGACGAGTTCGTAGCTTGGTGCGGTGAATGGCAAAACTCACTGATTATGCCGGCGAAATGTTTGAGAATGTATCAAGTCCACTGTCAGATGTCGGGAATCATGAAACTAATATGACAGACGACTTCGGACTAACTGCGTTCTACATAGTCTCCCTGACCACAAGACCAAGTTGTGACAACGAGGTCAACCCACTTCTATAAATCGAAAGGAGACTGCGACCATACCAGAGGCCACAACATCTTGGTCTTCATATCTTCAGCATACGGATTACCGATGATACATAAAGAAGGCGAGCCACTAAGACTGATAGTCAACAACAAGTATGGAACAACACACAAATTAGCAAAGTTTATATGCTTTAAACTCAAGAAGTTAAATGAGAGGCTATCAAACACGGTGAAACATTTATATGAATCTTCTCAAAAATGTGGGTGGGGTATGAAGGAGAGGATAATCGAGACATGGATTTAAATCCTAAGTAGAGAAAGATTCCCAGACACTGGCATGTCATAGGCATGGGCATCATATCCTCTAAATCCTCGAATATGGCGTAATCGAGGATAGGAAGTAAAAGCACTTAGGCAGCCAGATTTCAGACAGCCAAAGGGTAATTTTTATAGAAGTGGGTTGACCTCGTTGTCGCAAATTGGTCTTGTTGTCAGGGTGACTATGTAGATCGAACCTTGTCCAAAGTCGTCTGCCATAGTAGTTGTCATGATTCCCATAATCTGACACTGGACTTGATACATTCTCAAAAGTCTCGCCGGCACTTTAGTCGGCATCATCAGTAAGTTTTGCCATTCTCCGCACCAAGCTATGAACTCGTCAAAGAGACAAGTAAAGTCAATCCCTCGACAACCGTTATGCCTGAAACGGTTACACTATCGAGGGATTGACTTTACGTGTCTCTTTGACGAGTTCGTAGCTTGATGCGGAGAATGGCCAAGCTCACTGATGATGCCAACTCGGGTCCAGTCTCTGTGTGAATTTCACTCCAAGCGCTATTTCTCAAGGCCCTGGAAGCACATACACTGCCGCTTCACTGAGCGAAGCGCTTAAGCTCTGATTCCCATGCTTGTAGATATCAGGCCTTCCATACGCTGATCGTCTCCTTGATTAAACCCATGTTATCTGAGCAAAATGTGGACGCCTATCTTTGGTCGCGTGCGACATCT